TTTTTTTTTTTTTTGTTATATTGCACAGTTTAAAAACATTGTTCCTACCGAGGAGGAGAAACATACGCTTTCGTTGGACTCATTTTTCAAACAAAAAAATGACTTGACTAGAAATGAGATTGCATCAAGCCCCACTACTCAGCATCCCAACAATGTTGACGTTATAGCACGTCTCGACTCAATCAGCGCGGAACTCGAGGGCTTGAAACAGGCCTTTTTCGAGTTCTCAAGACGTGTTATGGCCGAATTTGAGTTGTTTAGAGAAAAATTCATTGTAAGTCAATGTTATCTCCATTGAACTTATTTCTTATTGAAGTTGTGCTGCACGTACGATATATATGTGTTTGGGTATTTTTTAATGGCAATTCTTAGTAGATAAAAACTGTTGATATATGTTAATTATATTTTTAAGTTTTATTTACTGGTGCATATATCATACTGCCATTTTGATTTGAAGTCAATTATATTTTTTGATTTAAATTGTGTTTGGTGGACTGTACGTTCATTTCTTGTACTGTAAGTTCACTTAATAACATTTACATGATACATCAGGATGGTTCAAGTAAAGAACATCACACAGACAGAGAAAACACGAGCGAATTTCGTGATGTGAATGAAATGCCTGATCATAATATTCACATTTCAGCAGAAGAAGAGACGGTTTGTTTTCTCGATATTAATATTTATTGTCAATATCACATTTTATAGTTAACAACTCTATGAAAGTAGGTGTATATGTAGTGTTTGTTTTCCATATAAATGAAGTATATTTTCTGTATATTCAGTGTTCTTATTACAATGATAGTATTTTAAAGTTTATTTATTTTTTGTCATATAATTCTATTGCAATGTTAAGGTATATTTGTAGCCAACTTCCTAACACATTCAAGGTTTTATTTGCATGATTTCTTAGTTAATAATACACTTTTTTTGGCTTGAACACCTTGATTTTTAATTGGAGGTCTGAGTTTTTTAGTATATTTTCCAGTTTATTGATCACAACTTGTACCTAAAATGCTTAGTTCAATGATAATTTTTGTTTTT